AGTGAATTTATGGAAGTGCCATATATAATCCATAAGAAGCTTCAAACATAATACATAACATTCTGATAAAAATGTTTCTGGTCATTTGGAGACAGGATATAAAATAATCTTCTACTGTTCCTTCTCACTAAGCACAGAAAGAGAATGATCTAGTTCAGAAGCTGTAGAATGAACATTGGGATAATCTCTCAAAGGTCTTACTAGCCCTTTTTAAATCTATCTGATTGCTCAAAACTCTGCTATTTTCCGTTTTTGTTTTGATTTAGCAGGAAGGGAGAATAAAATAGATTATTGGTCTTTAATTTTAAAAACTTTCATACACATACATAGAATGTGTGTTTATTTTTAGTCTAAGTACAATTTTTTCCCAATGATTTTTTTTTTTCCCACGTGGTTGGAGAGTCATTCCATCTGTAGTTCCTTAGAAGGCAAGGTTATGTTAATTTTGTTCTAAAACTCAGTAAGATGGAAGGGTTTTTAAGTATTTTTTACCCAGTGAAAACCTTAACCACAGAACAAAAGGCAGTGTAAGTGTAACAGTGATAATAGATAAAATGAAAACTGAAGTCTAATGTTTTATTATTAATTCCATAGTAGCTGTTTTCTGTGTTGCATATAAGAAAAACAATGTAATAATAATAAAAGAAAATGTTTAGGGGAAAGGGGAGAAATTAGCACACAATTCCTACTCTTCTCATTCTTTCTTCAAAGATAATGCAGTATTTGTACTTCATACCTGTATACAACCTGTACAACCTTGACTCAAAGACAAAGTACTAAAATGTGTCTAAGTCCCAGTGTCTGCAAACGATTTCAGTGAGTTGAAAGGATCGAATCAGACCAGAACCAACCAAAAGAAGATCTTTTAAGAAAATATGAAATAATCTTGTGCTCTATTTACCAATTTTTAAGAAGTTGAAAAATTTATTTTCATTTTTTCTTTGTAAAGCAATAAATGGTATTTTTTATTTAAATGTTTATTTTGCAAACAAGTTGCCTTCCATCTCTGGAGGCATTCAAGGCCAGGGCAGCCTGGTCCAGTGGTTGGCAACCCTGCACATAGCAGGGGGGTTGAAACTAGGTGTTCATTGCAGCTTATTCCTTCTGTTCTTAAATTTCACGTAGGAAGATGAGGTAATGGTATGTTGTGGTGATAATATCTCTTTCTTAAGTAGAGTGATTATTTTTTTCTTTTATGCTAGATCCACAGAGTGAAATATATATTAATGTGCTTTACTACTTTCTTTTTTAAGCATCTAGTTCATTCCAAAGTTAAAATTATCCTACATTAGTGTGACCTTTTGCGAGATCTTATAGCAGTAGTATTTTTCAGTGACACAAGTTACAGAAGAGGAGCCAGAATCTCAGCTGAAATCTGTATAAATCTCATCTGTCTCTCTTGGTTGGAGTGATGCTGATGTTGCAATATTTATGCAAAACAGGGAAGAACTTGGCTGCTTTCACATCTCTAAATTTAGGATGTGGGTGGGCCAGGACAGTGAGCAGTTTATAACATCTCTGTGCAGCAAACTTAATAAATCCATTTTGTATGTGACCTCTGTAAACTTTTCATCATATATTAAAAATGTTGCTGTGCTGTTGACAATAAGTGTCAGTATGAAGAAAGAATGGAGGAAGACCTTGTACACTTATTTTGTTTCCCGAAATGTTAAAAGCACTATAATTATAGGTCATTTGCATGATTTCTTTGGTAATTAAGAGTTTTAATTGCATTTAGTTCTAGGGAATTAGTTAAGCTGTTCATTATGCATATTTCCTTCCATAATCATCATCTGTTCTCATACACTAAGTTTAGTTACATCATGGAAGTCAATTAAATCTTTTAAGACAGTAGAGAAGTACAATTCTTTGTATGACCTGGATTAGAAACAGTCTCTGAAAAGCCTTGATAATGCTGTTTTGTGCAACATTTAAGTTTTGTCTTCAAAAAGGAAAGCCTGTTAGGGCTTCATTTACTGTTTCAGGATGCATAGAGTTCTTAGGGTAACAAACTAATCTATTCTTAGGAAAACCAATAGGCAAAAGTATGCTTCAGTTCTAATTGCAGCTGTTTCAGATTTGCATATTTATAGTACAAATACTGATCAACAGTTGAAAATATCATATTGTTCAAACTGGAAGAAGAAAAGAAGGCATTTAGAGATTGTATAAATGAAATCAGCACAGGAGAGATTGGTTTAGTTCTGTTGGCTCACTGAAAGTTACTAAAGTTTGCTTTATAAAATGGAAGGTAGAAAACACATTTTGCTTTTCCTTGTCTGACCCCAAGTTCTTGAAGATGTATTCATGGGCAAGGATCAATATTTTAAAAAGAAAAGAAAGTGTAAAGAAAGGGTTCACTCCTTCTGTCTGTTCTGATCTCTGATACATATCATGGAAATGGGATACACTTATATAGTGTGTCTATTTAATATGTCTTGCAAAAGTGTTTTCTTTGATCATAGTAAAGGTTTTACAGGTTGTGACTTGGTACTCTGAGAGCAGAACAGATAAACTCTGCGCATCCTTAATCTTTCTTGATCAAAGAGTGTTTTAAGAAACCTAAAAGCAAAAAGACGGGGTATACTGTTGTATGTTCCCTTCCAATGCGTCAAATCTGAATTCAGGCAAAAGTTAAACTAAGTTAATCTATTAATTATTTTCACCCAGTGAGTATTTTTTGGTACAATCTCTTATATTATGAAGAGAAGGATAAGACTCATCCAGTGTAGGAAAGCATTGGCTACATTGGCAAAGACCATAAAGAGTAGCCTAATGCATGAGAGAAAAATTAGTAATGAGCCGTAGTTTCAGTGACTGGAGGTTGTGGAGAGCACTGTACTTTTATCCCAGCATCAGTATTGAATTACTGAAATGACTTGTGGCAATATTTTTGATATTAGCAGTAGTAACACTACTAATAACTTAGCTAGTAAATACAGTCTGAATTACAGAACTGTTAGAAAGCATTGGTCACCATAAGTCTCAGATATTGGATACTTGAATTGTCCATACTTTGGATTGTTTATGACCAAAAATTCAAACTTAAGATTGCATGACATAAGGAAGAGATTCTTTATTTCATGCTAGAATCAACTTCAGAAGCATAATGTTTTATTATATAAATGTTCGAACCAGGTGATCAACCTGACTTTGTATGAGTTTTTCACAATCCAGTTGAACTGTGTGTGTCTTTGTAAAATTATTTTACATGTGTTTTAAATGGTTCCTTAATGTCATTTGCCTTATTCCATGCCTTTAGTTATGGTCCTCAGCTGATACTAACCTCAAAACTTACAATGTATGCTTACTGTCTTCTTTCCTTCAGCTTTTGCTGACAGAAAAAACATTATTTTCAGTGTGACTGGTTACTGACTTTTTTTATTTTTTTTATTTTAAATAGGGTTCACTCTGCCATTATTACACACTCTGAAATATGCAAACATATTTCAATTTAATTCAATTAGTTCAACTCTTCAGTACTGTATTTCATGTCTAAATAATACTTGTGTTTTGCTAAAATGTACCCTACCAATATAGTAAGGAAAAATGAAGAGTTCTATGAAATGGTGCACTGGCCAATTGCAAAAACTCCAGTATTATTCAGATACATGCAAAAAAAACTGAGAGGACAAACTTTTCAGCACTTTAGTTATTCTATATCTTAATATCTTTGAGGTCAGTAAAAATATTGTGGTGCTGGGAAGTATGAAGAAGTATTATCTATCAAAATCTAATTTTATATCAGATGCTGAAGTAGCTTTATAAATTTTACTTAGGCAAACCAAACAGCACTGAAGGTGAGATTGTACGTTTGATAGTCATATTTATTTTTAATGAATATTAATTACTATGTAGTTGACTGAGCTCATGATTGTTGCTTTAAAGCACACATGAATATTTTTTTCCAATAATATGTGTAATTTGAAACTCTGAGAACGTACCTTTGGTTGTTTTCTTTCAAGTTTTTCCAGACTTTGTATGTTTCTTATATATGTATATGGATAATGCATGCTATATAAAGAGGTTGGATGTTTCATCTCTCTTACTTTAGTTAGTTTAATTTACAACATTTCAATTTAATTATTGCTAAAGTAATTAAACCGAATAGTATGAAGTACCTTTATGTTAGGACTTAAAAAATACTAAGATACTAAGTGCTTGCTTTTTTCAGAAAAGTCAATTTCTAATCCAGTAATCAAAAGCTACAGTATGTTATCCAGATTAGTTTAAATGCCGAAACAGAGAAAATGAATGCAATTTTTTTTTTTAAAGTATAGCCATTCAATTTGAAAAATACTGTATTTCTTATTCAGTATTGTACTGTTAAACTCAGATTTCACACAAACAATAATTATTTTTTACAACCTTGATTTCATGTTGTCTGTAATTTCACTACTCTGCAATTTTGACGGTTTTAAGATATGTAACTTTAACCTGACTAAACTGTATTCTCTGAAAGTAGCAGTCCAATATAATTGCTGATTTTCTTGTCACCATTGTTTTGAAAGAAATAAAACATGAGGCAATTATTTCAGCAGTACTCTTCTGACAAATAATTTCTACCTAACTCTCCACTCACTCGGAGTCCTAATATTGACCTAAGTACTTTAGTCTTTTCACCTCTCACATACATTGAAAAATGCAAAGTTGTAAAGTTGGTCTTAGTTAAATTGCCTGCTTGTAAAGCTATGTAAGCACACGCTTAACTTTACATTAAGCCTCTGCTTAAATCTATTGCGATAAAAGAAATTTCTTAGAAACATCTGGATAACCAATTGTTGGGATTTGAATATGTGTGTTGATGCTTCTTGAATTAATTAATTAATTTAAGGTTAGTTACCTTGCAGATGTTCAAATTTGGAGGTTTAGCCATGTTCTAATTAGGGATTGTCTAAATCTGTTTTATTCAGTATCATTCTTTCTTTATAAATAGAATATAAAAAGTTTGTAATAACATTATTCTTTCGCTTCTTTTTCCTTACTTCCTTGTTTCTCAGTGTCTTGTGTTTGAAGATTCACCGCTTGGAGTCAAAGGAGCACTGGCAGCAGGAATGCAAGTGGTTATGATTCCAGATGAAAATTTAAGTCCTGATCTTAAAAAGGAGGCAACTCTGCTGCTCAATTCCATGGAGGACTTTAAACCAGAGCTTTTTGGTTTACCAGCATATGATTAATGCCTAATGTCTCTGTTCATAAGCTTGACTGGAGTTCAGGAAACCAGAATGAAATCTTGTTAAGATTTTATAATTGCTTTGTTTTGTCTCTCTTTCTTAAATCTAGAGCAAATAAATTCTGTTAAAACTGTGTCTTCCACAGTGTTCTAACCTTTGAAAATTGACTGAAATATTACATATTTGCTCTCATGATATCACAGAATCACAGAATCACAGAATTGTAGGGGTTGGAAGGGACCTCCAGAGATCATCGAGTCCAACCCCCCTGCCAAAGCAGGTTCCCTACAGCAGGTCGCACAGGTAGGCATCCAGGCAGGTCTTGAACATCTCCAGAGAAGGAGACTCCACCACCTCCCTGGGCAGCCTGTTCCAGTGCTCCGTCACCTCACCTAAAGAAGTTCTTGTGCATGTTTGTGCGGAACTTCCTATGCTGCAGTTTCCAGCCGTTTCCCCTTGTCCTGTCTCCACTCACCACTGAAAACAGTCTGGCCTCGCCATTCTGCCCCCCACACCTTAGATATTTATAGACCTGGATCAGGTCCCCTCTCAGTCTTCTTTTCTCAAGGCTGAACAGACCCAGTTCACTCAGCCTTTCCTCATAGGAGAGATGCTCCAGGCCCTTCACCATCTTCGTGGCCCTCCGCTGGACTCTTTCCAAGAGGTCCCTGTCTTTTTTGTACTGGGGAGCCCAGAACTGGATGCAGTACTCCAGATGAGGCCTTACCAGGGCAGAGTAGAGGGGAAGGATCACCTCCTTCGACCTGCTGGACACGCTCTTTTTAATGCACCCCAGTAAGCCATTGGCCCTCTTGGCCACAAGGGCACACTGCTGGCTCATGGCCAACCTGTCATCCACCAGGACACCCAGGTCCCTTTCTGCAGAGCTCCCCTCCAGCAGGTCATCCCCCAACCTGTACTGGTGCATGGAATTATTCCTCCCCAGATGCAAGACTCTACACTTGCTTTTGTTAAACCTCATCCGGTTTTTTTCTGCCCAGCTCTCCAGCCTATCCAGGTCTTGCTGAATGGCAGCACAGCCTTCAGGCGTGTCAGCCAATCCTCCCAACTTCGTATCATCAGCAAACTTGCTGAGGGTGGCCATTATCCCCTCATCAAGGTCATTGATGAAGATGTTGAACAAGACCGGACCCAGCACAGACCCCTGAGGAACACTGCTGGTTACAGGCCTCCAACCGGACTCTGCACCACCAACAACGACCCTCTGTGCTCTGCCAGTCAGCCAGTTCTCAACCCACCTCACTGTCCACTCATCTATCCCACACTTCCTCAGCTTTGTTATAAGGATGTCGTGGGGGACAGTATCAAATGCCTTGCTGAAATCAAGGTAGACTACATCCACTGCTCTTCCCCTATCCACCCAGCCAGAGACAACATCATAGAAGGCTACCAGGTTGGTCAAGCACGACCTCCCCCTTGTGAACCCATGCTGACTACTCCTGATAACCTCCTCTTCTTCCAGTTGTCTGGAGATGACATCCAGTACAAGCTGTTCCATCACCTTTCCAGGGACAGAGGTGAGGCTGACTGGCCTATAATTGCCTGGGTCTTCCTTCTTGCCCTTTTTGAAGACCAGGGTGACGTTGGCTATATATATGTGAAGTTAAAACAGTGTTTCATCTTCTAAAGTGATCCAGCTTTGTTCTCTGTACATCATAATGTTTTCTGGGAATATTATGAAACTATTTAGACAATTTATTGTAATTACATTAGAAACTTCTTGTACTGTTCCCATTTGAATGGCTTACTGTTTAGCCTTGAACCAGAAATCTGTTCTGGATTGGCTTATATCACATTACATTGGTTTTGATACAGTTATCACTATTAAATGCATCCAGTTTACCATTTCCTCATGCTTTGCTTGCCTGTCTATTCCCCTTTGTATCCTCATAGTTTTATTTTCTATTTTTTTATTAAACTTCCTGTGTGGTTTTGTTTTGTTTGTTTCTTTCTTTCTTTCCTTTTCTTGGATTTTTTTTTCTGTTCCTGGAGGGTTTGACTTGCAGAGGTCCCTTACAGCCTTCATTCTGTCACTGACCTTTGGATCATACCTGCTATAGAGCTGTACAAGGTTACATGATCCTTCTATTTAACCAAACCACTTTTCATCTTCCTCCTTATAGTCTTCCTGTTTTCCATGTTGCCATGTAGCCTTCCTTTCCATTTGTGTGAGAGGTATTCATTCTATCTTTTTGTTTCAATCTTGATAAAATTATGGCTTTAGCTCCTACACGTACAAGTAGCTTTCTCTAGGCTATCTCAACTTTCTTGTTCTTAATTTATTTTTATTGGCAAAAAGCCATGTTTTCTGGAGACATCTTTAATACCTATTTTTAAATTGTAGAAATTGTCATTTTGTTTGATTTAAATATTAAAATTTATTTTTATGGCAAACAGTTTCCACAAAATGATCATTTTGTCATCTATCCTTATTAATTCTATGTGTTTCTGATATCTTGGCAGAATAACAGTAAGGACCGAGTTAGAAAATGCTGTTCATACAGACAGGTTTTAATGGAATCCAAAGTACGTATATATTGTGGTGGAAGCAATGCATTTTCTTTTTCTAAGGAATTCTACAGTGGGTGGGTTTATAACATTTATAAATTTAAACATTTAAAAAGAAAAAATCTAATTGATTTTCCGTAATATACTCCAAAATTCTGGTAAAAGACTTGTTTCTGTAAAAATAATTAGTGTGATGTGAACTCCTTTGTGTTTGGTTTGGTTTGGTTGGTTGATTGTTTAATATCATTTGTTTATCTGTTCTTACAATTCTTTTTCCAGACATTTTCTCAATTACTGCTTTAGGTAGAAAGTTTTTTGGTGAAAACAAAAGTAAAAGAATCAGAGATGCTCCAGTGCTTCGCATTCAAATTGAGTTTCCTCATGTTTCTCCTCATCAGGAGAGGGGTGGTCAGCAGGGACAGGGAGGTGATTGTCCCTCTCTACTCGGCTCTTGTGAGGCCCCATCTGGAGTACTGTGTCCAGGTGTGGAGCCCTCAGTACAGGAAAGACATAGAGATTTTGGAAAGGGTCCAGAGGAGGGCGACTAAGATGATCAGGGGGCTGGAGCACCTCCCCTATGAGGACAGGCTGAGGGAGTTGGGCTTGTTCAGCCTGGAGAAGAGAAGGCTGCGGGGTGACCTCATTGCAGCCTATCAATACCTGAAGGGAACCTACACCCAGGAGGGGAGTAAACTCTTCAAAAGGGCTGATAACAGCAGGACTAGGGGAAATGGATCCAAGTTGAAGGAGGGAAGATTTAGGTTGGATGTTAGGGGGAAGTTCTTTACTAGGAGAGTGGTTAGGCCCTGGAACGGGCTGCCCAGGGAGGTTGTGGATGCCCCGTCCTTGGACGTGTTCAAGGCCAGGTTGGACGGGGTCCTGGGCAACCTGATCTGAATGTGTATGTTTGGTGGCCCTGCTAGGCAGGGGGGTTGGAACTACATGATCCTTGAGGTCCCTTCCAACCCGGGTGATTCTGTGGTTCTGTGATTCTGTGATGTTTTTGGTTTTTTGTTTTTTTTTTTCCCTTCAAGATATATTTAAATTAAAACAGAATTGCAACTTCTACATAGACTGATACAGTTTTCTGCTGTTGTATTCTTTTCATGCCTCAAAGAATTCAGAAATTTGTATTCCCTGTAGCCAATAAAATATTATCTGAATGGAACTAGATGATCTTTAGAACATATAGTATAATATTTTGCAGTGTAATGCTTTTAATGGAAGGATCTGGAAGCTTTTTTTTTTTAAGGGAAATACTGTTTTGATGTTGCTATTTTGTGTACTACATAATTTCTTTAAGACCATTGTTATTTGCACAGTGGCAATAAACCATTCTCTTCAAAATAAATTCAATTTCTGGGCTTCTCAGCCAGATAATAGAAATACAGCTATATAATTCCTTTGTTATCTTCTGTTGTGCAACACAAAGTGTTAATGTTGTGCAGTAATGCTTAACATTCCAGTATAAAATAGGTGCCTGTTGGGATCCCCTTTTTTCGTAATTACTGAATTCCAACTGGGAAGTTACTACATAGAATAAGCAATAATAAGATGCAATTAGCACACTAATAATTTTCATAGTTTGCCATTTGTTTAATTTAACTGGAGAGATTTAGAAAAAAAGAAATCTGAAGTGCTCTTCATTTACAGTTTACTTTGGAAGACACTGAGGCCCTGGAGCGGGTTCAAAGAAGGGCAACAAAGCTGGTGAGGGGTCTGGAGCACAGGGCTGATGGGGAGTGGCTGAGGGAGCTGGGAATGTTCAGTCTGGAGAAGAGGAGGCTCAGGGGAGACCTCATTGCTCTCTATAACTTCCTGAAGGGAGGTTGTAGTGAGCTGGGGGTCGGCCTCTTCTCTCATGTAACTGGTGATATAACTAGAGGGAATGACTTCAAGCTGTGCCAAGGGAGGTTTAGTCTGGATTTTAGGAAATACTGCTTTTCTGAAAGAGTGGTCAGGCACTGGAATGGGCTGCCAGGGAGGTGGTGGAGTCATCGACCCTGGAGGTGTTCAAGGAACGTTTGGATTTTGTGTTGGGGGACATGTTTTAGTGAGAACTATTAGTGATAGGGGGATGGTTGGACTGGATGATCTTGAGGGTCTTTTCCAACAACCTTGGTTTTTCTCTGATTCTGTGATTCTGTGAATGAACTGCCATCAAAATCCTGCATTCTTTTAAAGATGTTAAGATTAATAATTGATATCAGAAAATCAGAATTATTTAATCATGATCACTGTAATATCAACAGACCCTGTAATACTATTCTAATAAGATCATCTTTTACCGAGAATTCAGTGAGAAAACTTTCACTTCTTAGCTGCACAGAAAATCCTGTCTTGTGCAATTACTCTGTTGTGCATTTAATATCCCATCTGGCAGTTTTCATTAAGATTATTGCCCCAGACTGAATTCAGTGAACCTGAGCCATGTCTGAACGCATTCCTTTTAGTAAAATTCTATTCCATGTACCTTACTGCTTGCAGTTGACCACGTTCTCACTCCTCTGCTGAATCCATTGACAGTTATTAAAGCATCTGTTTTGTCATTAGCTTTTCTCATGACTAAAAGAAAAATCAAAAATGTACATGAAATTCATTTTTTTCAGGCCTAGCAAAACTATTGTCATCTCT